CCAGAACAATGGACTCTCAGACAGCAACAGTCATGAAGGAGGTGCAGAACCACACGACATTTCATTCTCTTATACGTCAGCTCGCTATGAGTCAATAGGAAACTGGAAGCCAGATGGGGAGGAGGTGGCAGGGATCGGGCCGGAGTGGCAGGAAGAAGGAAACGGCGCGGAGAGGTGGTGAGGAAGTTGAACCACCAGGGCTCGGGGGGGTGCCACGGCGCAGAGGGGTGACAGGGAAGCCGGGCCCGCATGTCACCCCAGCCTCAGACTGCCCAGAACCAAGGGTCTCCCCAGCCAGGAGTGCAGGTCCGACGAGCGCAGCGTCGCCGCGGAGCCCCCGCAGGTTACCCCCCAGGTGCTCCGGGAGCTCATCCTTCCCGGGGGTTCCGCACAAACGGAACCCCCATTCCCAATCCCTAAAGCCCTCCAGGAAACTTTAGAGCCACGTTTTAAGGCGGGTGGGTGGGAAGGGGTGAATCGCGTACAGTCCACCCTTCGGACGCCCCTAAGTCACCAGTAGAACGTCGTCCGGGGACGTACCTTCCTTCGGGGGGGCCGGGGTCCCCTGCACCTTGGGTTTCTTCATTTGCGGCAGGCTCGAAGGCTGGCGCTTAGGGGCCATGCTGCTCGCGGTCTGCCCGCGAAGTCCGAGAAACGCGCGAAAGAGCTGCTGGCTGCTGGTAGAGAGCGCCTGGAGAATTGAAAGTGCACGCGCTTAAGTCTCCGCCGGAGCCACCCCGCCTAGAGGGGATATTTACATGACATTGACACACTGGGCCCCGGCCTCCCGCGCCCGTCTTATCTCTTCCGACTTCCCACTCACCCTCCAATCAGGAGGAACTCCTTTGACTCCCAACCTGCATCTCTGGGCCGGGTGTCTCGGCCTTGGGCTCTTCCTTTTAGCTCAGTTCTTGGAAGGAGCGCTACTTCAAGAAGAACCAGCACTCGGCCCTGCCCTTTCCCAAATTCCGTAGGTAGGCAGGCTTTCCCTCCCTAAGAATTAGCCTCCGGTTTTTTTTTTTTTTTTTGGTCTCCTGGAGACTAAAACACCTACTGCTAGTTCTGGGACAGTCTCTCACACACATGCATTCCCCTATCTGGCTTCCCAACTTTCTGGATTGCCACTCAGAATTCAGAAAAATGACCTTAGATCTCCGTTTCCCCAAGCACGCGATACTGCTCCCTGGGCGGGACTGGAATGATGGAGATGGGGAGGGAGTTGCAAGAGCAGGTATCTACACTTTTATCTTGGATTATAGATGCAACAATTTTCCATTGAGGGGAGGTGGGGGGGAAGATACTGACTTAATTTTTTTTTTTCCTGAGAAGGGGGCAGTAGGCCACACAAGTTTGGGAGCCTATATGTTGAGTGAAAAATTTAATCACCCTGAGTGGCCCAAAGGGCTAAGCGCTGGTCTACCCAAAAGTTGGTGGTTCAAACCCACCCACCACAGGCACCCCAGAAGAAGCAATCGCTTTCTGAAAAGTCATAGGCATGAAACTGAATGTCGTTCTCCGCTAAAGGGAGTGATTTTTCTTTTTTTTAGTAGTCAAGAAATTTAAAAGCAGCATGTAGGAACTGTTGAACTAATTAGTGTGTGTTTTGCTGTGTCTGTTCTCCAGAATAACAAAATAAATAAAATGATAGGGTTTTTTAAAAGAAAAAAAAGATTTTGATAATTACGGAGCCCTGGTGGCGCTGTCAGGTAAGCATCAGACTGCTAACTCCAAGTTCAGCAGTACAAACCCACCAGTCTCTCTAGGAGAGAAAGATGAGGCTATCTGCTTCGGTGATGATTTAAAAACTCAGAAGCCCTGTACAAGATCACTGTGAGTCAGAATTGACTCCGTGGCAAAGGAAGTTCCTTAGGCACAAGGCTTCTTCACAGCAATCAAATCTTTTCAGACTCTTAGGGATCCTATAGCATAGGGGGTTGCAAGTTCGGCTAATAACCACAAGGTCAGCAGTTTGAAACCACCCGTTGCATCTCAGAAGAAAGATGTGGTCCTTAGTCACCCTTTAAACCTGGAACTGAACTCATCCAGTGGTGGTTCACTTTGGAGCCAAACAAAACAGGCTGATAAGGTCAACACCAGAGAGGCAAGAACTCCTTAGAACAATCAACACCTGAGATCCACAGAGCAATTCGAGCTCAGGAAACAGCTGACGGGAGGAAAGAAGGACTAGGTCAGAAGTTCTCAACCTGTTGGTCGCGACCCCTTTGGGTAAGGTGACCAGATATCCCACTTTTGGCCGGACAGTCCCGATTTTTAACAATTTTTCCCGCATCCCCTGGCATTTTTTTAAAGTTCTGATTTTTTGGAAAGAATGCACAACAAGCTAGGGTATACGGTTTTCGGCTACCATGTGGCTATTTCGCCAGGGTATGAGTTTTAGCAATGGTGTCCCGCTTTACTAATGTTAAAATCTGGTCACCTTACCTTTGGGGGTTGAACGACCCTTTCACAGGGGTCGCCCGATTCATAACAGTAGCAAAATGACAGTGATGAGGTAGCAACAAGAATAATTTTATGGTTGGGGGTCACCACAACATGAGGAACTGTATGAAAGGATCGCGGCATTAGGAAGGTTGAATACCACTGGACTTGGAAACAAGAAACACAAAGAGGAAGTGGGAAGAGGACTGTTGCATTGTGGGAATACAAACAATGTCAAAAACAAAAGGTGTCTGAATTGTTGAATGGAAAACCAATTTTCTGTGCAAATTTCACTCAATGGAAAAAACCCTCAAAACTGAATGCCAACTCATAGCGACCCTACAGGACAAAGTAGAACTGCCCTTGTGAGTTTCAAAGACTGTAATTCTGTGTGAGACTAGAAAGCTCCGTCTTTCCACCCAGGAGCAGATGGTGGTTTCAAACCACTGACCTTGCTGTTAGCAGCCCAACTCGTAATCACGATGCCATCAGGGCTCCTTAATTTTTTAAGAGTAGAGTGGCGGGAAATGCAATCAGAATGTTCCTTGTCTTAGCGTGGTGAGACTCCAACTCACGTCATCAGGAAAGGCCAATAGTTAGAACACAACGTTCTGTTTGGTGGTGTGTTGGTGAAGGCCAGAGGGCCTCAGTGAAGTGGACTGACACAGTGACCACCAGAACAATGGACTCTCAGACAGCAACAGTCATGAAGGAGGTGCAGAACCACACGACATTTCATTCTCTTATACGTCAGCTCGCTATGAGTCAAACAATAAAAGCAACAAGCAAGAATGTCAAAGCAGAGGAAAGCAGGTATCTCTGAGAAGACCTAAGGATCTCATTTAGAATTCACACCTAGATAGACAAGTTTAGAGAGCAGAAGGTTATAGTTAAAAAAGAAGCCTCTTGTCTGGGGATGACAGGTAATAACAACGACTGGGAACCAGCGATTGGAACCGACAATAGGCAGTGGGAAGGTAAGTTGACACGACCTGAAGTAATTGTGTGTCCACATCTACCGAAGCAACTCTGCTAGAAATGCATGTCAAGGCATGTGTTAGCATGCATTTGTGTGATAAACGTGTGCAAGAATGTTCATAATAACAAGATTCGCAATAGCCCAAATCTGGACACAACACAAAGGTCCATCAACAGTAGGATAAATACACTGTAGGCTATTCACATGAAGGACCAGCATAAAGCAATAAAAACATGTATGAACTACAGCTTCACAAACAGACATCCTATTAAGTCAAAAGCACAAATTGGCGTACACTGGATGATTTCCTTTGTATAAACAAGTGCACAGTGCGGGTCCCTGTGTGTCGCAGGGGTGAGGAATCACTGGAAGGGGACATGAGGGACTTTAGGGTATCGGTGACCCTCCGTTTCTGGGTCTGGGGCTCGTTACATGGATGCGTTTGGTTTCTGTGCATGTGTGGAGCTAGAGAGGGGTCATTGGTTATTCAGTGGCAGAATTCTCACCCTCTAGGGTTCGATTCCCAGTGGACGCACCCAATGTGCACTTACCACCCACCTACCACTGTCAGTAGAGGCGTGCATGCTGCTATGCAGATTTCATCAGAGCTTCCAGACTAAGACAAACTAGAAAGGAAAACTCGATGATCTACTACTTTCCAAAAATTACCCCATGGCAAACCCTATGGATGACATCCATCTGGTCCCGGGGCTGGTGTAGGACTGGGCAGTGTTTCACCGGGTTGTGTGTGACGTTACCCTAACTCAGGTCCTGACTCACCAGCAGCCAGTAATAGACAGGGGCAGCCCTTTGTCAACCCTCCCCCAGGCCGTAGGACACAGCCAGTGCTTGCAAATGGATTGGTGAAGCCTGTGTTGCTAGATTACTTCATTTTATATATTTCAAATCCTTTTGTTGGGGCTAATACAGCGCTTATCACAATCCATTGGGTCAAGCACAAGTGTGCATTTGTTGCCATCATCATTTTCAAAACATTTTCTTTCTACTTGAGCCCTTGGTATCAACTCATTTTTTCCCCTCCTCCCAACTCCCTCCCTCTCTCATGAACCCTTGATAATTTGTAAATTATTATTTACTTTTATTTCTTTATTTATTTACGAAACCCCGGCCCATACTTTATTTTTAAGAGAAGCCAGAGATGCAATTTTCAACTGTATCTTTTGTTATCCACTCTTCATTAGTATGCAAATTTTAATTGTGAAATTTCTGGATTTTTTTTAAAAGTTGGCGACTAATTAAACGTTTCCAAAGCATTGGGTGGGCCAAAAAATACGTATCCTCAGCTCATTGTCATTTTTTTAGGCCATGCATTTTGCAACCTTTGAGATGGTAAGATGTTCGCTTGCTTTGTTTTGCTTGTTTCCAGTTGTTTACTCTTTGAACAAAATCAATCTGAAGCCTCAATGCATGGTGTCAATGTAAATAAAAAGCGGAGTTGTCTAGAGGAAGTTGAGGTAGAAAAGGGTTCTCTACAAAAGAAGAAAAAGAGAAGAGTCCCTTTACTCCCTCCATGCCTCAGCTCTTTGTCAGTTTCTAAGGGTACTTTGGCTCTATTATGAATTGTGTCTCCCCCCCCAAAAAGTGTCAATTTCACGGGACCATGGTTCTCTCAACATGATGTCATGATCCCCCATTTGTGACCTGATCTATGGCCGTGTGTGTTATAAACACTCATCTCTCTGATGTGAATGAGGCAGGATACGATCTGGAGGATTCTGTTGTATTTTGATATTCCAGAGATTAAACAAGAGGGCAGAGATGGGAAGGGTGTGACAACCATCAAGGACAAAGAACGAGCCTGGTCACAGTCAAACTACAAACCCCAGCTCCGGCCAGAGCCACAGCTGCCCTCCGACCTCCTACCAGTCCTCAAAGGGCAGCTGCAGCAGAAACCAGCCCATGGCATGAACTACCAGTGCAGAGAAGCCCACCCTGGCACTCAAGCCCCTCTGAGCATGTGCATTGTGCCACTCCTTTGTTTCCATAGCTTGGACCAATGGGAGTGTGTAATGGACGCCCCAGCGCCTATGCTGGAGTACCTGACATTATCAGTCTTGAGGCAGAGGGGAATGGAGAGGGAGGGGGGAAATGAGGAGCTGATATTAAGGGCTCAGGTAGAAGGCAAATGTTTTGAGAATGATGATGGCAACAAATGTGCTCGACACAATGGATGGATTGTGGTAAAAATTGTACAAGCCCCAA